TGCCCATTTAGTAGAGGTCCTATTCCACCCTGGGCCTTCCTTTTACTCCCTATATATCTAAAAAACAATTTTTTGTTATCCTTAACTTGGGATGCCATCCTCAGCTCCATGGTAGCTTTGGCCTGTCTAGCTGCCTCCCTACAAGCGCAAGCAGAGGAGGTATACTCCTCTTTAGTAATCTCTCCCCGTTTCCACTTTTTATATTCCCCCCCTTTTAGCCTGTAGACTGCTCTGGATTTCTCTGGTCAGCCAAGGAAGCCTCTTGGTCCCTTTCCCCCTTTTTCCCCGCATCGGGATCGTCTCCCTCTGTGCCTGAAGGAGTCCTCTACATCCTGCCTGCAGATATCCTCTCCTTGACTTTTTTCCCCAGCTGTTCCACTGCAAAATGCTTGAAAGTGGTTGCTGACTGTAACAGGGTGGCTAAGACAGACACCCCACCAGAGTAGAGTACAGAAACAAAACTTAGTGGGGGACACCGAAGCAACCGCACCAAGCCATGGAGGGAAAGACACCATGGGCCGATTTAATTAAAGGAACCAGCTGGGGCCATGGCAGTTCAAAGACTGCTGTGGCAAATCCAGCTGCCAGAGTTCGAGGCTGGGTGAAGGAGAATGGCACGGCAGACAGAAAATAGAAGAGTTGTGTCGAAAAAGAAGAATGAAAACAGCTGTGTCCAGAAGACAGTGAACCAGATGCTGCCATGGGGGACACTGTGGGGAAGAAAAGGAATTTAAACAGATTCTGAGGGAGTGTCCAGGGTTGGCCCGAAGAAAAGGGGAGTGAGATGCAGATAAAGAGGACACTGAGGGGCAAGGAGAAGAGGAACCGACCCCAAGGCTTGAAGGAAAGCCTTGATCCCTGGACTTACCAGAGGAGAGTCGATGAAGTGACTAAGGAGGCCACTCTGACAGTGGGTGCAGTCCCGAGGAGTGAAAAGACCTGCTTCGAGACCCTGGAATCAAGAAGAGACATGGATGAGATTACATCTCCAGGAGAGGTGAGTCCATCCTGACCCTAAAGTTCAGGGTGAAATTAGAACTAAAAGGTGGCTGTCTTGGGACCTGAGCAGGGAAGAATGGGGCAAGCAGCCAACTTGGCAGGAGACCCCAACTAGGGGGCCCATGGGACTAAGACTGGACTCTCCGTCTAGTAGGCAAACAACATCAAGCCCGGAACATCTGGTGTGGTTTGGGCAGGGTATGGGGATGGTGGAGCCCTGCAAAGGTAAGCAGACCTCCTGAGCCTTTAACCAAGTTTTTTGTCTCTCAAAGTGTTTGGTACCTCTCTAACCATTAAAGGCGTGGCAGAAGAGTTTTAAGGGACTGAACATGACCGTTACAAAAAAGACAAGCCAGCTCCAGGCATCATGACACCACTCCCTTACACTGACTTCCATCCACTCCTCTTGAATTCTGGGGAGTCTCCTTCTTCAAGGAGTCACATGCTGACACTTCTCATTTCCCTTTGGCTGCTCTAGTGCCAGCTTCTCATAACTCCTGTCATACTTCTGCAAAGGACAGCCACCCATATAATCAAAGGCCAAGAGAGCAAACTTTATGAGAAGAGGCTGAGGGACATGGGACTCTTCAGCCTGGAGAAGAGAAGGCTCAGGGGTAACTTAGTGGCAGCCTATATGTACATACAGGGAGTGCATCAGGACCTGGGAGAACAGTTGTTCACTACAGCTCCCCAAGGAATAACAAGGTCCAATGGCCACAAACTCCTAGAAGGCTGACTTAGATTGAACTTAAGGAAAAACTTCTTCACCATCCGAGGGTCCAGGGTCTGGAACAGACTCCCTCTGGAGGTGGTGCAAGCACCTACTTATTCAAAAGGTGTTTGGATGTTTAGCTTGCTGGTATCATTTCATTCCCACAGACTTCCTGCCTATGGCAGGGGGGCTGGACCTGATGATCTTTTGAGGTCCCTTCCAGCCCGTAATGTCTATGAAATCCATGAACCTGCAGGTCATGGACAGTTTTGTTCCCAAGGGGGTTGTCAGATGAGATCAAAACCATCAATGCTTTGCATATTGCCATCCTGTTCCCAGGAAGGCAAGGTATGGAGCACAGACACTTCAAGGGACACTTCTCCATCATGCTGCAAGGCATTGTGGACCTATAATGGCTGGCTTGGGCAGGGTCCATAATGCCAGGGACTTAAGGAAGCCTTCCTCTCCTGATGTTTTGAGGAGCATTTGGCTGTGGCACTATTAGCTAAGAGCTGAAAGAAGTGATGAGGTCCATACAGGACCCAGCCTACCCATTCCTGTGGCTCATGAAACCCTACAGCAGAAACCTTGATGCCTGGAAGGAGCTCTTCAACTGCTAGCTTAGCAGCTGTGGAATGACTGTGGCATGAACCTTCAGTGTTTCAAGGCAGAGTGAAGGGTCCTAAGGGTGCAAGCAGCATCTGTGAAGATCTGCAGGCAATTTATTTTGGGCGGAGGGCTGCTTACCAAGTTTTGGCAAGCTGTCAAGGGCCGCATAGGTGACCCTCCCCCGGTCACTGTCTTATGACCAGAAGTCCCACCCCCTATGCCCTGACCTTTGCCACCAGAAGTCCCTCCCCTTGCTCCCAGAAGTACTCCTTTTCAGCATGGGGTTTTGCCATCTTGGAACCAAATTAGGAAAATACCAAATTATATTCTAAAAATCAACTGTGGCAGAATACCATCTCTGTCTCTCCCCAAACTCTGTTCTGTTACAATTTGGTAACCATGGCCACTGCAGAAGGAAGACATCCCATGGGCTCCAGGTAAACCTGAGTTGTAACCTGAGCTGGATATATTCCTGAGGGAGGGGGGAAACCTGCTCCCTCTGCCTACGTGACTAGTATCACATACCTGGGTGAGGGGCTTACGCTTCCTATTGTTCTAAGCAATGCCAACCTGACTGGAAGGAGGATAAAGACCCTACCAGTCTATCCGGCAACCAGTGATGCATTTCAAATTGGTTGGCTGGCAGCCAACAGTTGCTGGGCCTTCATTGGACCAGGTAAATGAGGTCATAAGGGCTATATAAGTGAAGGACTGCCCAGGAGGAAGGGCAGTAGCCATATTGAAAACTCTTAGAGAATCCAGGCCATCTGAAACTTGCTCTCTTTCTTGAAACTCATGATCAAGGAACTGCCTGCCTCCAGAGGGAATCTCCACCTGCCTCTGGATGATATTTGTGAGTAAGCTACCTGAGATCTAACTAGATATATGGCTTGCGGTAACTCAGATGCGTGATCAAAGGCTACCTAGACACCCTGTTTGCTCTATGTGATTTCTCTGATATTGCTCTACCCTGTACCCTACTTCAAACCTACTCCTTGTAACCAGTAAAGTTCTCCTTTGTACCTAGTGTTGGAAACGTATTGGGAGAGGGTCTAGATTATGCCTGGGGGGGTCCCCTTGGTTCAGCTGACTAAGGGAGACCACTATTTGTCCTTCAGACTAAGGGAAGCACCCCAAGCTCTTGCAGTGGGTCAAGTACCCTTAAGGACTACTAGGCCTGTGTTTCCCAAGGGGCACAGGGCCAGGATCAGTCCAGACCCTGGGTGGTGGCAGTGTTACCCCCCAGGCTAGTGGGTGTGCTTCAGAAAGGGGATTGGCCAGACGTGAGGCGCCCCCAGGGAGGCACTCGGAGCCTGGAAGGTGGTCGGGCGCAGGGAGGTGGGTGGCTCAACGCAGGAGCACCCCCTACTGGCCTGCCACATCAACCATCTATAACATTCATTAATTTGATTAAAAATATATATTTTTGTCCTGATTTACGTGTGTTTGTGCACTATACATAAATGTGATTGCACAATAGCTTAACATGAAGTCTTACTCTTATAAGTTTTGGGGGGCATGGGGAGGTGGGTATGGGTTTGTGGGGGGCTGTAAGTGTGTGGGCATGTATGTGGATATATGGGGTGTGGGTGGGTATGGGGTGTGTGGGGGGAGGGTGGCTGGGGTGTGTTAGGGGGCATGGGTGTGGAGGGTCTATGTGTATAGCAGTGTGAGGGGAGGTGTGGGTGCATGTGTATAGCGGGGTGTGTATGTGGGACTCACCCTACAAACACAGACACACAGATGTACTCCTGCTCCTGGCCCCAGGGCCCCATGCTCCTGCGGTGTGATGAGGCAGCCAGGAGCCAATTGGTGCTGGAGCAGTGTGGGCAAGAAAGCAGGGAAATGTCTGGGGATGGGGCAGGGATGGGCTGCTGGGTCCTGCTGCCAGCTCCCCCTGGGTCCTACTGCCCCTGGCTGCTGTCATCTTTGACAGGCAGCCAGGTTGGATAGAATGGCCTGGTGAGTCAGATCTGGCCTGCAGGCTGTATTTTGCCCACCCCTGCTTTAAGAGCTAGGTGGAATAGGACAGAGGGTCTGATGTCTGTGTGTGTTGTTAGCCAGAATAAAGAAACCTGTTGCTTAAAGCAGTTCCTGCCTCAGTGAACTGAACCCACAACATGGTACCAGAAGTAGCTGAATAGAGGTCACTGCATTACATGGAGTGAGCTTTGGGGGAGAAAAAAAAAGAAACAACTACAGACTCCAGCACAGCTGAAACTCTCCAGCCATGAGACGGAGAACTGGAAGAGGTCTGAGCAACAATTCAACCCATATATAAGGGTGAGTGGAGAGACTGAGAAGTCAAGTGACAGAAAGATTTTCTGAATGTAGCAGGTGTGGAAGCGCTGGATGTACGATATATAACAGTCTGCAACTAACTCAAGCAGAACAGGCTGATTATGAGACAATGCTCAAAAAGATTTACAAATACTGCACTCTAAATAAAGGAATGAGACTTCTGAAACATCCCAGTTCCAGAGAAGGCCACAGAAAAGGGAGAATCCTTTAGGGAATTTGAAAAGGATCTCAGACTGCTGAGTCAAATCTGTAATACTGGAGAACACGCAGACTCCATGATTAGAAATTAGATAGTGATGGAATCAGAGACATACTTCTCTGGAAAAGACTATTGGGGGGATCATGATCTCAGGCTAGAAAATGCAACCCAGGTGTGCAAAGCAGCAGAAACCAGCCAGACTAGAATGAAGTCCATAGAAGGAAAGCCAGGCGCTGAAAGTGTTGATGGAATAATAATCCCTCCCAGAAAGGAGAGAGACAAAACAGCTTTGCAAGGGGAGACCTGAAAAATGCAATCAGGAAGACCGCATTTTGCAACAGCTCGCTCTTCTTGCCAAGAAGGCTAACAGCGTCCTGGGCTGCATTGGTAGGAGTGTTGCCAGCAGACTGGGGGCAGTGATTCTTCCCCTCTTCAGCACTGGTGAGGCCACATCTGCAGTCCCGTGTTCAGTTTTGGGCCCCCACTACAGAAAGGATGTGGACAAGTTGGAGACTTGTTTTTGTGCAAAAAGTCTAAGAAAACTGCTCATTAGCACACATTCCACCCCTATCCAAAGCAGGAGACTTCTGGGGAGAAGAGTATAGATAGAGGAGGACATAAAGCAGTATGTTTATAAAAACCAGAAACTTGATGAAAAACAAAAACTTACCTAATCAGTGGCTATATGACTAAAGGACTATAAATATCACCTCCTTGAAAAGGGGAGGTGGGGGGAATCTTCTTCCAGATCCTAAATCGAATTGCTTGCTTGCTAAAACTAAACTTGCTAACTGGTTAAGGGCTTGCAGACCAAGCCCTACGAGGAGAGTCTAGAGAACCTGGACCTTTTCAGCCTCCTCAAGAGAAGGTTGAGAGGCGACCTTGTGGCTGCCTATAAGTTCATCACGGGGGCACAGAAGGGAATTGGTGAGGTTTTATTCACCAAGGCGCCCCCAGGGGTTACAAGAAATAATGGCCACAAGCTAGCAGAGAGCAGATTTAGATTGGACATTAGGAAGAACTTCTTCACAGTTCGAGTGGCCAAGGTCTGGAACGGGCTCCCAAGGGAGGTGGTGCTCTCCCCTACCCTGGGGGTCTTCAAGAGGAGGTTAGATGAGTATCTAGCTGGGGT